GTTAGCAATCATATTTTCTGTTTTTATATATCTGTCACATCAACAAAGATTGTCATCCCAAACTTTTATAGTAAGTATTTCCATTCATTGATGTTTAAAGTACACCCAGTTTTGTGGGCTTGGAAACATCTGGTTCAAAAGTATTGTCAATTGAGATATTCTTTTTTAATTTGACCTTAGACTTTTTCTTTACATGAAAAAAACAATAGCAACTTTTAAATGACAAGAATATAAGGTAAGCATTCTATTTACCTGTCTTTGAAGGTTAAAAGTGGGTAAGTGGATTATGTACCTAATAGTGATGACCTTTCTTAAGGACGAGCTGCAAAGACTAATTGCATATCTTTGTTTACTTTGAGTTTATACAGAAAATAAAATGGGTCACACTAGTGCACTCTTGTTCATATAAATAATGTCATACCCCCAACTTGAATATTCATTTTTGCTTGCACATATGCCATAATGCACTGGTTGTTTATCTAAACAAACCGTTTGATAGACATTTAAATTCAAAAATTCATTACTTAAACAAGCCATGCTATTTATATATCATTCTTCCAACAAAGTTCATTGTGTCTATTTCTTAGTTATATATTTTTACTGTGGTATTTTTGTTATCCAGATATATTTCTGTCAGTTCTAGTGACAAAAACTTTTCTTTTCATAGTTAGACCAAGATTCACAGATACCAAAAGCAAGAGTTTCATGATTGTGAGAGCAGGAAATTCTGCACGATTTACCATTAACTTTGAGGTGAGTTTTTTAATTGTTTGACATTAGTTAAATCCATAAGCTTTGCCCTCTGTCAAGTGCTCAGAAATCTGAAAAGATTGTTGTTTATATTATTTAGGCTTCACCATGGCCAGAGGTGGTGTGGCTAAAAGATGGCGTGCCAGTATCTAAAAAGGTGACTATCAGCAATGCTGAGGGAACATCTCAGCTTCTGATCCCTTCAGCCGAACGTACAGATACTGGCATTTATACCATCATTGTCAAAAATGTAGTTGGACAGGAAACAGCTAGTATTGAAATTAGAGTAACAGGTAAGTTTGATAAAACTTATTACTCTTTAACATTTATTTAAAATTTAGTATAGTAAGTAAAATTATGTTTTTCTGTAGATGAACCGAAGCCACCAGGTCCAGTGGAGCTGGATGAAAATGTGCCTGGCACTGTAACCATCTCATGGACCGCATCTCCAGATGAGAAGCGAGATGACAGGCTCCACTACATGGTGACAAAGCGGGATTCAGTCAAAAGAACCTGGCACACTGTTGCAGATCGAATCTTCAACAATAAATTTACAGCCTGCAACATCTTGCCAGGCAGAGAATACCAGTTTCGAGTCTATGCCAAGAATGACATGGGCTCCTCCAAACCATCAGAATCAGCAAAGTGGCTGATTCCTGCCAAAAAAGGTGATCAGAGTTGAGAAATGAATAAGCATGTATTGCAAAATCCCAAATTAGATCAAATATACTAACAAATGATCTTTTTACTACTACACTAGCTGACTGAATATATTTCATTTGAGAAGACCGCCATTAGGCCTTTTCCTTTTCTATAAATCAAGTATATTATAACTAGCATACTTTACAACTTTGAAGAAGTGCTTCTTCCCTCTATTTTTTAGACATAGTTTGATTTAGTCTTTATTTTTCTCCCCTTCAGAAAAATTCATTGTGAATATGCCGGAGTCGAAGGCCTGTGACCTGCAGTGTCCTCCCAAATTCCTTGTTCCGTTGAAAATGCACACTGCTCCTCAAGGCTATGAATGTTACATGACATGTGCTGTTAAAGGAGATCCAACACCTCACGTGACATGGCTCCGTAACAACATCAGTCTGAATACCAACACCAACTACTTCATCTCTAACACCTGTGGGGTCTGTTCAATGCTAATACTGAGGGTCGGATCGAAAGACATGGGGGAATACAAAGTTGTTGCAGAAAATCCGTTAGGAAGAGTGGAGAGTTCAACTAAACTCACTGTCAGAGGTAAGTCCTTCACAGAAAGTCTCTAAAGCTGAACAGTTTTTGTACAAGGCTCTACTCTCAGATGTATTTGCATTTCAATAAAGCAGCATCCCTTTCAAAAATAAACTGATTCAGTAATTCAAGTAAAAAAGTGACAAACAAACCTAAAAACCACAAATTGAAATAAATTAGAATGCTCTTTTTTGTTCATCTGAAATATTATGAGTCACAACTGATGCAAACCCAAAAGTTCTGTTTCTTAGAAAAGTAAAATGATTAATAAACAGGGATAAAATTAAAGGGAAACTTGAGGGTAAACAGTTTAGCTATGGCTTACCAATTCTAGGGTCCGTTGACTTGACAGGGGTCAGGCAAACAGTCATTAAGTCCTTAAAAGGAAGAGAGAGATAACAGTTAATTATAGAATATTTATTTATTTAATCTTGTGTTCTTCCAAGTATGGGTCCAAACCTTTTAATATTGTCTCTGCTTCTGATGAGATTTTAAGGCTGCAGTTATTTTTGCTGTTTGTGCAACTTTTTAACACAACATTCTTTAGTGGCATCCTGTTTACTGTTGTACTGAAAAATTAATGCAACTGTTTTTGGCATCTACTTAATTATATTTAGTTACCTATACCCAGTTGTTTTACATCCTAACATGAAAAAAAATTGTGTTAAAGTAGCTAAATATGATAAGGTAGATGCAAAATCTATTGCATAGTGGGCTATTTTTTCAGTGCTTTATATTATATTATTAAATAAAATGTTGTCATCCAGCCAGAAATTAGTTCCTAGGACCTATATAAAAACCGATGTTATGTGAGGTTCACCATAACAGATGGGATGTGCCCCCCCAAGTCATCACAGAAGTTTCCACAGTCAGGGATGACTAGGGGGGGCATGCCATCTGTTGGTGATGTTGCACTGTGTTTTTTTGAGTCCTCTTTCAGCACAGCTGTCTACCATGGGACTTTAAAAGCATCTATTGCTTCCCTCTATTGACAAGCTTTATGGAGTTGATGGGTAAATTTTAAAGGATGACTTCTGTTTAAAAATTATCATAAAGACTAACTTGATTCAACAACACAGACTTACTGAAAGCTGCTATCAAGACAGCTTTGGCTTCCTGCATCAAAGCTGTGCCACAGTGATGCAGTAATTTGTTTTATTTTTTTGCAAAGGAAGCCTAACAAACAATCGGGAGCCTGACCTGGATAGTACAGGGTCATGATTTTAGCAGCTCGATTTCTGTATAAAACAGAATAAATTATCATTTAAAGCTTTTAACACTAATACATATTCACATGGTATCCCTTTTGAGTTGAATCACTGAAATAAATAAACTTTTTAATGGCATTCTAATTTACCTGTAAATAGAAGCTTAAACTGATTTCTTCAATTATCTTTCTTTGCAGAATAAATGGATCCATAGAGGATATCACACAAGCAACATAGTTGGAAAATAACCCTACAGAGTCAAGCAAATCCCAGAGGTATATGAAATGTATACCAAGTCTTACTTGTTAAACCATCTTAATCTCAGATATAATTTTGAACACTGACAAATATGTACAGTAAAAAGGTAGAGTGTCAACATAATCTTTGAAAAAATATATCGTATTAAGTATGAACCCATTTGATTTGTTAAAATAGGAGCATGAAAGTTGTGAAAAAACTTATGATTTTACTTTAATTGTTTTCTATTACCCTAGAAAATATCTGGTGTGACTCCATATGTTTGTGAATTCCTGGTATCATACATTGTGTTTCAAAGTTTTGACATTAAAGTGATGTAGTTGTCTCATCTATAAGCTCATCTATAAGATAACTGGTTTTCATCATTTCATTATTTTGCAAGATTTGCTTTTGTTGACTTTTTAATGCATTTTTTTTCTGATAGCATGTTACACGAGTTTTAATATGTTGACTGTCATGAAATATTGTGCAAAGGTAAAGGAAATGAAGAGAAAAGAATGAGTTATTAGGAAGTTTTTTTGTTGGTTTTGTTTGTCATAATCCAGTCCCAGAAAAAGGTTATGAGCACATTCTCTCAGACTCCTCCGGTCTTTCTGGCATCCCCAAAACGTTAACCCCTTTCTCTTAAATATCAACATTTAACAGTGGCATCTCAATGGGAGAAAATAAGCCTCTTAAAAGGCATAGAGCTTAAAATCTAAATTGTTGTTAAAATCTCCATGTAAGTGCATGCAAGGACATAAAGGCACATTTCTTTATAGTTAATTATTGAATCATAAGATGCTTCATTTTATGTTATTCATGTTCTGATTTGTGTGAAAAGTTTGAATAAATCTTAAATTTAAAATTAAAATTGAGTGTTCTTTCTTAATTCAACTTTTCAAAACTGATCTTAGTTAAGTATTTCCTAACATAAAAATGCAGAATATACAAAGGTTTCATCAAATAATTCACTAAAACGTGTATGCAGACCCATGTAACATGCCTTTATGTAACTGGCCTCAAAAGTACATGTATCAAGCTTCATTACAAAATTTGAATAATGTTGTTACTGTAATCATATTTTTGAATTGTTTAACTTGACTTAATTAGCATCACAAAAAAGAGAGACTTACCAATCTGAACAGCTAAAACATGATCAATCTCTTGGTGAAACTTCTTGGTTGCTGGTTAAACCTACCAACAAACATTAAAAGATAATTTTGGTTTATTTCTAATTTCATTTCCATTAAAAAATGTTAATTGGTTAAACTTTGTAATACTCTTTAAGCTATTTAATGAAAGCACTGACATTTTCCAGCATCACAATTCAATGAGGTCTTAGAATAAAATAAGAGAAATGAAAAATAATCTCCTTACCTCTTGTGAATTGTAAAAAAAAAAAAAAGGATACAGCCTTATGTGTTCCTATCCTTAGAATGAAACACTGTGAACTCCCTTACTAAATTATCCTAAGGCCTTTTTCTGCTTCCCTAATGCTTTGATTCCTAATGTTGAGAAATGAGAAATACAGATATCCTATGCTGCTTTTCCTTAGGAGTTCCCTCTTCATAAACCTATAGCACCAGGGTAAGGCATATCAGAGTAAAACTATCTCTATGTGTAACTGTAAAAAAGCAGTGGGTTGGGTTGCTCTGAGTGTCGTAAAGGCCTTTATGGCCTCTTAAAAGAAGGAGCTCACACTCAACAACCAACTGGACCGTGGCTGGCACCCGACTGCACAGCAAAGCAGCTAAAGTGAAAAAATAGTAAGTACATTCACAGAAATGACAAGGTTTCTATCTGCAGCATGTTTTTGGATGTCTACATAAGACCAACAATGATAATCTATGATAATGATGATCTGTATTTAGCTTTGCAAGTGTTTGTTTATATTAATTTCATGTTTAAAGAATACATAGGCAGCATACTCTACCATGTGAGAATATCCCTTGAATTCTATCATGAAATTATGATAACAGCCCCATAGATGTGTGTTGATTTCCATTTTGGGTGAAGCTGCATATGAAAAATATACTATGATATACTATCAGAACAAGTGTGTATTCATAAGAAAAATAGAAAAGGACAATCCTCTTCACTTTCCTCCAGAGGGTTGCAAAGTTTTAATTCTGCATGAGAAAAGAAAAAAAAAAAAAAATGCATGTTCCATTTTAGGAGAGAGCTCTGCAACTTAAGATTGAGAGCTTGCATTCATAAATCACTTCACTCTAACATCGTTGGCAAAAATTTTTTCTCTAACAGAAAATGTCACTTCAAAGCAGCCCATGTATAAAATTCAAAAATATGCTGCTACTCCAGTCAGATGAGAGCTCGACTGATTCTGTCCATTAGAATTTACTTGTAATAAACTCAAGTGTTACTTTATATATTTTTTCAACAAGACCAGATTCTTGATGGACTGACATGATACAGGAAAAAACTAAGAATTAGCATTTAACAGTTAGAGTAGGAAACATATGTTATTACAATTATAAATCTTCAGATAGACTCCAAAAAAGGTCCTTCTGTGAATTCATTATTTCTGTGACATTTTGACCTATAGAAAGGTGATACCTGGATAAGCTGGGTAGCACTATGAAAGCTATTTTATAAATGTATTATATGATTCCAAAATTTTTGTAGTTGATTTAGAAATCTAGCAATAACACTATTCACACTTTTCGGGGACTTATTTTTATACATAATTGTCAAAATATATAATAATAATATAAATGTAGTATAGTTATATATACAAATGAAATCCCCCAAAGTATACAAAAATACTGTCATTTTGCTTTATAAAATGGTAACTTAAGGTTATAAAAGTTGTTAATTTTCAGCTAAGACTGTATGTAGGTTAATTCAGGATGTGAGCAGAGACAGTCTTTTATGTATTAACATGAAAATAAAAAAACTAAATCCTTAGCAAACTTCTAAGCTCTAACTGTATCAAACACCCTCTTTTTTTAAAGTACAGCATAAAACTTTTATCCATTTTTCTGCTGTTGCCAAGTGAAAACAAATAGCTCCCACCAACACTGCATTTTCTAAAAACACATCCAGCCATAAACCTCTAGGTCCTGCAATGATAAGTGATACCTAGAACATATTTAGACCATCTGCATCACATAAATTATTTTAAAGACAGTGGTCAGCTACAGAACTCAGTGAAATTTAGTAATATGGTACTGTATGTACAGACTTTGGTACAAATGACCCTGGTATTCATTTGAGATAAAGAAGAGAGGTTGCTATAATATCCAGGGAAATCAAACAGTGGAATATTCAGAGCTCTAAAAGTGTCTTGTGATTTTCTTGCATAAACAGACAACTTGGTGTGAAGATGTTTAAGGTTTGCAAAGCAAAGGATGAGCAGCCTACTGCTCCTGGGCAGGGTAAGTCAAAACACAACAAACTGATATTAAAGATTACATCCTGTATCAAGGAAAATTAAGGTTATAAACTTTTATTAAATATATTATTAGAGAATTCAGCAAACTATGACATGCAAACATGCTACTAAAAAAAAACCTTTTTTGTTGTCAATTTGTTAAAAAAAATCATCCTATTGTTATAAAATTGCAGTTAAAATAAGAAAAAAGTCACGGGTGCCTGGAGTTATGATCACTCAGTACGTGGAAGAACTTCCAGAAGGTATGACTACTCCAGATTTCACACGGAAACCTATCGCTCTCACAATCCCAGAAGGTAATATTGAGCAATGTTTTACTTACTTTTTTATTATAAGATGATACAACAATGAAATTCTTTCTGCTATGTGTGTAGGAAAGATGGCATTTTTTAGAGCAATAGTTACAGGTAATCCAACACCAAAAGTGTCTTGGGCGAGAAATAATGGGGAGATTGATGAGGAAAGATACAAGTTTGTATTTGATCCGGTTTCTGGTGAACATCAGCTACAGGTACAGTCCCCCATTTCTCAACATTGTGCACACTACGACAAAAATTGCACATTTCCCCTTGTGAAGAACAGTAAAACACTTGTTTTCCTTTAAAGATGCCAGACGTGTGTGCAGATCAATCAGATACCTACAAATGTTATGCCCGAAATGAGTTTGGAAAAGCACTTGTAACAGTTACACTCAATGTCATTGAAAGTAAGATGTTACAAATTTAATACTTTTTTTTTTGTAAACAACAACTTCTGAGATGACTTAAATCTTCTTCATTTAGTTGGCTATAAGAAGAGCAAAGCAATGAAAGAATCCAGAACAGGTATACACGTTGCATGTTTATACACAGAAAATGAAATTATTGTTTTGTAAAAAAAAAAAAAAGTTTATTTCAGTAAAAATAACTGTACTTCTTTAAGCTGTTCGAGAGTTACCAGAAGACTTCAAAAAGAACCTGAGAAAAACGTAAGTGATCTAAATCTGTTACTGCATAATTTTTCTTTAAATCTTTTTTTGCTTTTTTTTTTTTTTTAAGTAAATGCTTTATGTATTTATTTGTATGTAGTTATCCACTGTTGAAACTTGCAATGCTACTCCAGGAGTAGTGAATGCTAAATATAACTGCAGTGTGTTGGATTTGCTTTATTACAAAACCTTTTACCAAATTTCAATAATAAATGTAACTTGATGGATCAATATGGATGGGATATACTTGACTTAGAAAACCGTCTGCATAATTAAATTGCATTGCCTGCTTTTTGTAAAGGGTCTTCACATGACATGCATTAATAATTGGAACTGTCTAAGTAAATAAAACTGAATTGCATCTCATTTTTTGTGTTTTCCCCTTTTGAGCGTGGGCATTGAGCCAAAGGAAGAGAAAAAGCAAGAAATTGATGACCAGTTTTGGGAACTATTGTTGAGTGCAGACAAAAAAGATTATGAGAGCATTTGTGCACAATATGGAGTCACCAACTTTCGCTGGATGCTCAAGAAGCTTAATGAGAAGAAGATAGAGCGAGAGGAGGAGCAGCAGAAGGTTTGCCTTTACACTATCTGTGAAAAGAAACCAAATATGCAAATTAAAATCTATAATATTGAACATAAAGAAAGTTTGATATAAATGTGTTTGTTTTTTTTGTTTTTTTTTTATTCAAATGGATTTAAGGTTGTGGAAAAACTCTGTAACCTGAAGCCCATTGAACTGAAACATAACGGTGCTGCAGAATTTGAAATTGAGATGTCACTGAAGGACCCAACGAGTAAAGTTTTCATATTCAAGGTAAATTAATTTGTTACTAATTTTTGAAAGGCAAAAAAAAAATAAATAAAAATAAAAGCCCTAGTGTATCCTACTCACAACTATCTTTTTTTTTTTATATTGGTTCAACTTTACGGCACAACTTGTCATAAAAGGATGGGGTTATGATTCCTTTCGATGCTGACACTGAGGTAAAACACGGACTCAAGCGAGTAGGAAAAAGGTTTGTGTTTAGCATAAATGGGGTTAATCCTGAAGATGCAGGACTATACCAACTCGAAGTTGATGGAGTAAAGATATTTTCAACTGAACTGAAAAGTAAGAGCATAAACAATTTAAACCCTTTTTTATAGAGAACTTAGGTCAAGACGTTGTACTTGATATTACTTTGTAACTTGACAAAATATTCCATGTGCTAAAAATCATAAATGTTTGCTTTTTCTAGTTCCAGATGTGGATTTCTTGGTAAAGATTCAAGATGTGAAAGCAGAAGAAAGAGAGGATGCAGTGTTTCAGTGTGTGCTCTCACGTCCTATGACAAAAATCATTTGGATGGGAAAAAATAACCCGGTGGAGCAAGGAGATAAATATGATGTTACAACATCAGATGACATGCTGATTCACACTTTAGTGGTGAAAGATTGCCTTCTACTGGACAAAGGAATTTATTCGGCTGTGGCTGGGCTAAAATCCTGCAGTGCCTGGCTTATAGTAGAGGGTGAGGCTTAACTATTTCAAATAATTTTCCATCAGGTTAATGCTTTATTGTTAGGTCATTAGCAGGGCTGGATAATCTGACTGTATACTGACCACTCATTCACACAGACTTCCTCATCCAAGCATCCTCGGCTTTATCACAAATGAAAGCTTTTCCAGCTAATGTTGCATTGCAGCATGATGCACAGCTCCCCTCAGTTGTTCATCATATATACGTATCAAGTTCATTTCAGACGGATGATAAAATGCTTAAATATCCTAAAACCAGATGAGCCACACAGGAGGTCAGACATAGAACGAGTGGATAGAGCGGATGAATGGACAGTGGTTTTCATTGTGTGAGGACTGCTGCACAACAACTTTGTGTTATGGATGATGGAGTGGACAGATGAAGTAGTTTGTGTGAAGCCAGCTTTGGACGTTATATCCTTGTGGATGCAGAGACATTTAAAAGGTGCAGAACAACAGACCTTTAGGGGCCAGAGATAAGAACCTGGTAAAACCTACCATAATCTGTGTCTGGAAAGATAGATTTCTGGGTTCCCGTTGTTTTTCCTGTGTCTCTCACAAGGTGATATAAAATAACCAAAGCACCACGCATATATATTACTTGAGAGGAAATACCTCTTCTACTTAAATTAAATATGTCTAGTGATGCTTTTACAGCTGCTCTTGACTTCCTTTTGCCCAACATCATCATTAGTCCTCTTTATGAAAATCCCAAGCGATAGTAAAGCTTTCCTTGAAACAAAAAGCATCACTTAATTTAGATCCTTAATGAGCTATACTTCAGTAACAGTGAGTATGTGTGTATTTGTAACAATATTCTTTAATAGGTAACAAGGACCCAAATATGGCTGGAAAGAAGAAAGCTCGAAAGACAACTCGTGCAGGGGGTGGTGGAGAGGATCTTCTCAAGGTTGCCCAGGAACAGCAAGCAAAGTTACAAAAAGAGCGAGATGAGTTGATTGCAAAAGCAAAAGAAAAAGCGGAGGAAGAGGCAGCAGCTGCAGCAGCAGCTGCAGCATTAGCTGGTGATGAAGAGACAGACCTTTATTCTGAAACGGAAGTAGGAACAGAAGTTGTAGGAGAATCAGAGGAGATAGTACAGAAAGTAAAGAAAGTTTCAAAACCTGAGGAACATGGTACGCCACAACAGGAAGAAGATGATCTTGAAGAGAAGGAACCTGTTCAAAAGAAAAGAGTAAGAACAGGCCCACTTATCCCTGAAACAGTCATAGGTAAGATGCTTAGAAAAGCAAAAATAATCTTAAGCACCTACAGATAAACTAAATCCAACCATTTTACTGTATTTCTTTCAGATCCAGGAGTTTATTTCACTAGTGGACTCTTAGATGTAAATGCAGTCATTGGTACTGATATAGAACTGCTATGCCAGCTCAGCAGCGAGGACTGTGAAGCAATCTGGTATAAAGATGGAAAAGAGGTAAAGATCATTCAAAATCATTGACTAACAACCTTACCTTCATCATCTGTGATGTTAAAGTATTTACATTTCTGTATTTAAATTTCAGATAACAGTAACAGAGAACATTGATTTAGTCAAAGACAAGACTTGTCGCAAGCTAGTTATTAAAAACTGTACAGAAGAGGATGCTGGAAAATACAAATGTGAAGCAGATGGTCGTAAAACAGAAGCAATGGTAAATGTTGAAGGTAATAATCTCATTGAAGAAATCTGTTTCTTTTTTTAGGACTGTTTGCTAAAATGTGGCAGTTAAAACTCTAATTTTACCTTTTTTAAATGCTATCAAAATGTAATAATTAGGATAATTATTTCTACCTGATATAGATCCTCCAAGAATCAACCCTGAGGACCTTGCTGAGTTTATGAAACCAGTTATAATCAAAAGTGGAAAAGACGCATCCTTTAAGCTAACATTTGTTGGCCGTGAACCCATGAAAATCCAATGGTACAATGATGGGGAAGAGCTGATGGAGGAGACCAACATTAAGATTGAAAAGTCTTCCTCACATAGCCGACTACTATTAACTAAGTGTAATCGCAGAACAACTGGAGAAATTAAGATTAAAATAAAAAATGAAAGTGGAACGGTGGAGGCCATCACACATCTTACTGTCCTAGGTATGGTCTTGCAACTACAATGATAACCTCAGGTTTTAATCACTTCTGAGTTCAAAGATCAGATACATACAGTGCATGTCTTCATACAGATAAGCCGACGCCACCACAGGGACCTGTTGATATCATTGAAAGTTCATCCTCCTGCATCGAGTTTAAATGGAGAGCTCCCAAAGATAATGGTGGTTGCCCTATAGTCAACTACATTCTGGAGCGCCAGCAAATTGGACGCAACAGTTGGCAAAAGCTGGGTAAGATTGGCTCGGAGCCCAAGTACAGGGACACAGACATAGATCATGGCAGAAAATACTGCTACCACATCAGGGCTGAAACTGATCAAGGCATCAGTGAAATGATAGAGACTGATGACATCCAGGCGGGAACAAAGGGTACGTTTTCTCACGACGATAGTACTGCAAGTCGGGTCAAACTTTTTACATGTGTGTAAATGTCGTCCACTTCATTTTTTAGCATACCCCGGACCTCCATCTGCACCAAGAATTGTTAGTGCTTTCAAGGACTGCATTAATCTCGCCTGGACTGCACCAGCAAATACAGGAGGGACAAATATTTTAGGATACAATGTGGAGAAACGAAAGAATGGGAGTAATCTATGGGGCATGGTCAACCCACCAGATGAGCCCATCAAAGGTTTGTCCATTCTAATACCACAGATTGTATAGTTACCTCTGGGGGGAAAAAGTAGGTATATTGTATTTTCATCACATCAAATGGTTTTATCTCCACAGCAAAACAGTATGCAGTAAAGGATGTTGTCGAAGGGATTGAGTATGAGTTCAGAGTGTCAGCCATTAATATGTCTGGTGCTGGAGAGCCAAGTGTACCATCTGAATTTGTGATTGCAAGAGATCCAAAGAGTAAGTAACAATGATAATATGATAATAGATGAGATAAATAGATGGATGGATAGATGAATAGATAGATGGATAGATACAGATAGAGAGTTTGCTGAAGAGTTTTATCTAAATGTGAAATGTTCACACTTTCAGAACCTCCTGGTAAAATTACTGACTTGAAGGTGACAGACTCCTCATATACCACCTTATCGCTAAGTTGGAACAAACCAGTAGAAAAAGAAGGTGTCCAAGATGAGGCCAAAGGTTACTTTGTGGAACTACGACCAGCTGAAAACCCTGAATGGGGCCGCTGTAATACCAACCCCATTGTTATGACCTCCTTCACTATTGTTGGACTAAAGTCAATGGCAATGTACTGGGTAAGAGTTAAGGCCACCAATGAAGGGGGAGATGGTGAGCCTCAGGACCTAGACAACTATATCATTGCAATGCCTCCTCCAGGTGAGTTACTGCATGTCCCAAATCTTTTTAGAAGCAAGCACCATCTAAAAAGTTTGTTTTTGTTTGTTGTTTTTGTTTTATCTTTATAGTCAGACCCCAATTCACTGACAGGAAAATGAAAAACTTCATGGTTGTGAGGGCGGGAAACTCTGTTAGAATCAACTTCAACTTCAAGGTAACATTGTGTTGATGATATCTTCATCTTACTGTGTTTTTAAATCCAAGGAGCCCTGTCAAAGATGGGTATCTGTGTATTTACAAATGGCACAACAGGTGATAGTGGTTTACTGCCAACAGCAAATCACAGCAATAAACTGCAGACGTGTACTTGTGAATCTGCAGGTATTTATATGTGGCTTCTTGATGTCTCCTTTCACTTTTAAATTTTGTTTGAAGCTCAGGTATTACATTTTTTTTTTTTTTTTACAAAATTAGTCTCTAAAATATATACCTCCTCTCACTTACATGGTAAACAAATATTTTTGAACAGAATTTGGAGAAATTTAAGAATATGAGCAATAGATAGGGGATGAGTCCATCAAAGGTTAGGGCATTCTAACAGCACACATTGTTTAGTTTTGCACCACCAGATAAGAAATGGAAAAAGGTAAATAAATTATATTTTAACTGATGAAATCTTGTATTCACATTGTGCTTTATAAAACCCCAGCAGCCCAAAGCAATTTACACTATATTCAGTATTTATGCTCACATTCCAGCTGATGCTAAGCTACATTGTACCCATAAATTGGTGCCATCAGGCCATGTACTGTAACTACAGTAGGCAAGGTGGGTGAACTACAATATCTCACCAAAGACACAATGATGGAGATGGACACAGTGGAAACCCACTGGCTGCCATTGCCTCCTGATTTACATGTTTATCATTCAGACATATTAATACATGATTTAAAAAACTTTTCGGACTCAGAAATCTAATCTGAGATGGGTTTTATAGGCATTATTTTAGTGCTGATTTACAAAATATGCATAGTTATTTATGAATTGTATCTCTTGCTTTTTTGACAGGCTTCTCCAATGCCAGTAATTAAATGGCTAAAGGATGGCTTGCCTTTACCCAAATATGTAACAGTGAGCAACACAGACACATCATCACAGCTGATGATTCCCTCATCAGAGCGCCATGATACTGGAATATACACAATCATTGTAAAGAACCTTGTTGGTCAGGAGACCTCTAGTGTTGAAATAAGGGTCACAGGTAAAGCGAAAACATTTATTAAAGATAAAATCTTGAGGAATTTTTAAGTGATGTATTTCCCCCATAACTGTTAGATTAACATTTGCTCTAGTCTTTTAACAGTAAATATTTCTATTACGAGAAAACAGATTAACTTGCTGGTCCTTATTTTGATCAATGTTAGGGTAAATATTAGAATTATTTCCCACCTGTCCGTAGATGATCCTAAACCTCCAGGCCCTGTGGAGCTTGAAGAAAATGTGTCAGGAACAGTGACCGTTTCATGGACTCCATCTCCAGATGAAAAGAAAGATGACAGACTGCACTACGTGGTTACCAAGCACGATTCTGTTAAACGTACATGGCATACTGTGGCTGACCATCTCTTCAACAACAGGTTCACCGCTGTCAATATTATGCCAGGAAGGCAGTACAAGTTCAGAATCTATGCAAAGAATGACATGGGCCTTTCTGCAGCATCTCAGTCACCAATCTGGGAAGTGAAACAGAAGAAAGGCAAGTTTCAACAACACTGTAGTAAATTAATGCAGCACATTATAACTAAAGTTTTTTTATTATCATTTTTATTAAATATGCAGAGGCTAAAAAATGAAATAAATCATTTTAAAGTATATTGACACGTATGATATGCACACATTGATCAAGTTATTTTTCTCAGTAACAGGTATTTGGATTCTTATCTGTAATGATTACAGGGAAGTAATGTCAAAGCCTATATCTGCCATCTCATCATTGTTATGGTTTTTTTAATAATTACACATTTCACACAATTAAACATTAAAAACTAACTACATTAAAATATTTAAAAGTATAAGGGTTGCATTTATTTGTAAACAGGTAGCCTGCCAAAGCCTCTTTTAAGAGATTAAGACACACTTATTTAATTCATACCTTTCCTCTTTATATGTAGGGCTCAAAAAGACAAAATAAAAGGAGGGTAAATTCCTTTGGTCACACTTTAAGATAACCATCAAAGCAATTATTGATAAAGGTTAACAGAGGGTTTATTAATGTTTGATTTATTAATAAACCCTTCACAGCAATTTAAAAAAAGTAAATAGATAATTTATGAAGGGAACTAAGCCCACACATATTAGGGTAGGTCCAACATGACAGAACATGGTAAATTAAAAATAAAGGCTTGGTTCAGTTTAATTCCACTAATGTTAGTGTTAGAGCTAAACTAACATGGCAAAGCAATATGATGTATTTGCCTTTTATAAATGGTTTAAATGCAGTTCATCAATATTTATCAAACATTAATAAATTATATTTCAATCATTAACAAATGGTCTCTTTGACATTTATAAATCATGGTTGTTGTGAAGTGTTACCATTTTTTTTGTTTTTTGTTTTTCTTTCATTTTTTACTAACCTAGTCCACGTCTTGAAATTCATATGCAGAAAAATTTTTTATTTTTCAGTGTGTCCTTGTTAAGTAAGAGACTGCAATAGTTTGTATTACCACATGAATAACTGCTAATCAGCACTGCAGATGATACTTTTCTGCGAATAAGCATACTATTTATTTTATAATGAAACATTTAAAAAGCATGAAAGCAATGTTTCTTTTAGGACTGATGCTTACTTCTGCTGTCTTAAAACCTTTTTTTTCTTCCTTACTTCCAGAGAAATTTTTGTTGAAACTTCCACCTTCCAAGAGCTGTAGCTTTGAGATGCCTCCATCATTTTCTGTTCCTCTAAAGATGCACCAAAGTCCTGAGAGCTATGAGTGCCAAATTAGTTGTGCTGTAACAGGCAATCCCAGACCTTATATTACCTGGTACAAAAATAACATCAGCCTTAACACCAACACCAACTACTACATCACCAACACCTGTGGTGTCTGCTCCATGGTCATACTCCATGTAGGGCCCAAGGACAGTGGGGATTACATGGTTGTTGCAGAAAATCCTTTGGGCAGAGTGGAGTGTTCAACAAAACTTGTTGTAAAAGGTAAAGAAAAAACAAACAAACGATAAACAGTATGTTGTTAAGTTAAAATCAGCTTTATAAAACAAATGACTCTACTTTTCCTTTTTTCCTCCTTTAGATTAGCATACCGCAGAGGCCTTGAACTTCTAGAGATTCCTGTTTCATCAAAGTTAATAATGCCACATTCATTAGCTTGACAACTGGTTGTGATCTGCATGGGTTTTGCTATATTTGTCAGAAAATATAGCCTTGATTTTAAATAAAATCTGATAACCACAAATAAATTTAATCATTAAAAAATGAAGACTATGAATATTTGACATTTAATATTGCCAACATTAAAATCATGTACCCAATGTAGAGACATAAAGAATGAACTGCATTTTTGGTTACAGGCTTTGTTTATTTTAACAGGTCAAAAGATATTGTGCATGAACAAATAAAAGAGTACAGCTTAATATCCATATTGTTGTTTATGTTTCTTCCATTACTGTGTTTGGAATGTTTTTTCAGTAAGTTAAGATTTACTTTACTAATTTTGCTGATTTAGTAAACTTATAACAGTAGGACCACTTATCCACAGTGATTGAGGTTATTTTTTATTTATTTTTTATTTTAATCAATCCTGTTTATTTATATAGCACCAATTTCAATCTCAAGGCACCTTACACCTAGCCATAATTCAATAATATCACATGATCAGATTAGTAAAAAAGCTTTTATCTAAAGAAAATCAGCTGATTGCATCAATACGTTGACTTGCTGCACATGCATCTGGATGAGCATTTGGTGATATTCACTTTCACTTTGTAATGGATGCACAGATCCATTGATTTTTTTCTATGTTGGAAGTAGTAATGGTAAACCAGCTCCACATGTGGCTTTGTCTAGAAAAGAAACAGTTAAGCAGACAAACTGTGCCAGATTTTGTGTAAAATTGAGAAAATAGAACAAATACAACTAGTCACAGTAAAAGCTGATCCCAAAGTTAAACAGAAAAAAAAATAATCTAACCGCTTTTGCCATTTACTTAATCAGATTTGGTTAGTTTATCACAATTGTTTAATGTCCTACCCTACTTACATGAAACAATTGTGTTAAAGTAAATAAATATGATTAAGTAAATGCCAAAAACGGTAGCATATCTCTAGGAGAGAAACTTGACGAAACACTAAAAACAGGCTGATTCTATTGTCTATAACCGAAGGTGTTGATGACAGTTATATTTCTCTCCAGGATGGTCTTGCAGCCAAATACGAACAGACCAGATAAAGCTACTATGATGACAAAAAGCAGAGTGACTTATAGGTGGAAATAAAAAAATCAGCAATTTGGAAGAATGATATAGAATGAAGCAGAATGATAAAAAGGGGTCCCTATGTCCTCCAGCAGTCTAAGCCTATAGCAGCATAACCATTGAGATAGTTCAGGATAACCTGAGTCACTATAACTATAAGCTTTATCAAAAAAGCTAGTTTTAAGCCTAGCCTTAAAATAGATGAGGTACAACTGGTAGGTGGTTCCAGGAGGGGAGCATGATAGCTAAAATATCTGCCTTCTTTTCTGCTATAAGAAATTCTAGGAACAACTAGTAAACATGCTGATCGAGCTCTGTTGGGAACATAAGGAATAATCAGATCATCATTTCTGTTTCCATTTTTCTCTTTAACCAAAAATTGTATGTTGCTAATAATTCATTCCCTATCAGTGATAATTATTCATATAATGTATATATTTATATGATCAGTTATCTAAATGACAATCCTAATTAAATGATTAGTTGAATAAAACCAATTAAACTCTTACTAATTGTGTGTAAGCATTTTGTATTTTTCCACAGAAAACTTTAAACATTATTTTTTTTTGTAATGAACTGAAAGTTTTAGGCTTACACCTTCCCCCCAATTATGTTAAATAACATGCTGCTGTCATTTTGCACATCTCTGATGTTGCTGCTATTTTTAAATATCCATAACTGTAAAAATGTCCGTAGCTGTATATTGTTATATATTCTCCAGCTGCAAAGTTTTATATTGTTAAAACACTATACAGCACACTTTTTTATTTTTTTATCTTTTAACTCTCCACTATTATGTTATTCCTATACATTTTCATATACATCTAAGGTCTACATATGTGTGACAATTTTTTCTATAATCTTCTTGCTGCTGTAAACAACAGAATTTAACCATTGTGGGACAATAAAGGGATTTTTTGTTCTATTCTATCCTATTCTATTCTATAGGAGCTAAGAATACAAGCAGATAAAGATAATATACTAAAATACATAATCAAATTCAAACATACAACATACAGTTCCATATTTCCAATGCATTCATAGTTTTGTAATTCAGAAATACACTTTAATTTTTATTTAGTTTAAATCTTGTGGACACCAAGTTGTACTGACATATTGCTTTTTAATTGAAGTTCTTAACCTGCACCCATCCATGATAATGAAAGAGTCTGTGACAATAGCTGTATATCTTATGCTACCAACCTAGAGAATCTAAAGACAGGCACATAAATAATAAAAGGAAATGTTCAAGTGAACCTTTTTATAGGTACAGATTTCAAGATTGCTTCAAATATACCATCATCATTATTGATAACATGGCCTTGCTGTATTAACAGGGAAATGTGACAAAAATTTTAATTAACTGTGTATGTGCTCTTAGAGATTATCCTGCACACATAATTTCAACAGTGAGCCTCAAATTTGCCTTCTATGAGAGGGCTCTCCACTAATTAAAAGACTCATAATTGGAAAAGTTTAATTACATTTTGTACAAGCTTCACTGTGTCATTGTTTAATTCCTAAAGTTCAAAAAAATTCAAAAATAAGGGATAATTTTTTCTCTATCATTAGCGTTGTGTAGATTGTCTCCCAGAGCTCTATAAGTGTGTGGTTTCAGTTTTCAATAGTGTATTTATTAATTAATTCAATTTATTAATATTTATTTCTCTGTAATGTCTCTGAAGAAAGCTTTGTCTGGATTAGATGAATCAAAAGGTCCAAAAAAGTTTGAAAAGAGCCACAACATTGTCATAAAACAAAAATTGACCAAAACATTCATTTATTCACAATTGTTGTGATGTTTATTAATTGGACTTAGCAGTGACCTCCATGTGGTTACTGATCATTTTCTATAATGTTGCCTCTAATTTTAATAACACCAAATTAAAATAGTATAAAATGGGATATGAACCAACAACCAGTTGTAAAAACATTAATTACTCAATATATTGTCAGCAACTCTTTAAATTTGCCAAAAAGAAGAGCGGCTAATGTGTTTACAGGATAAACTATTCCAAAATACCAACAATGAAACTTTATCAAAACAGTAGAACTTCTAACAGTATTAAAGAATAGTAAAATGAATCAGTGGAACTTTAGCAACCTGAAGAAATATAATGAAAATGTCAATATTTTCACAACAAATAATACACTTCAAAATCCATTTGTGTGCTGACATGTTATCAGTTTTATTTATTTATTTTTTTTATGAAACATGTTTTCTGTGGTATGAGTGAGTGTCATCCTATGAGAAAGCAACAAAAATACCTTTAATTTTTAGGATATGCCAAGTGTTTTAATGGAAAACCATCTGCAAGAAATGAATACAAGATTTATTTTGGTTCACATTATCGAAAAAGTAAATAAAGCACAAATTTGTATTCAATAATTTACTTTCTATCCATATTAAGTGAATAAGAATTAAAAAAGGTCATATCAAACTAAACTATGCAAGGAGAAAAATTAAAGAGTCCTGTAAGACTTGTCAAATTCAAATAGTCAAAGAATAACATCAATTGGCTTTACTCAATTTACCAACTAAATCTCTCTCTGGATTCCATTGTGCTGTTTAAAACATAAAAGTCAATCCCCATTCCAGGCAAAAATGAAGACTAACAGTGTTGGAGCTTGTTGAAGAGCGTATGGTGTTCCTGTAAGGATTTAATGGCTTTATACAACATTCGGATATCAGACATGGAAAAAGCTCTGTGGAGGAGGATAAAAGAATAACTGGGTTGAGTGCATTATTCATCCGACAAACAGCTTCAGTCTTTGACAATGTATTAAATATTGACATATGGATGCTGTAAGTCAAGGTTTTTTTTTTTTGTTTTTTTAAAAGCATGATTTTAAAATATGTTATATGTTAATCAAAATTCTTTACAAAATTAAAAAGCACTAGAAATAAAAATGTGTTTTAAGAAAAATCAAAGAAAAAATATATTGGCAGAAAATTAGAAATAATAGCCTGTTAGTTAACATGCAGCCATGAATATTTTCCAGGTTATAGGCTTATTTATTAAATGTGAGCATTAGCACATGTTCAATAATATTAAACAAAGTTATAATGTGTACATAGCTTTTTACTTTCCCACCTTTATCCCCCAGGTACATTTGATCTTAATGTTTAAGGTCATTTGATAAAGGGTCAAAAGAAAATAAAGTCCAAAAGGAAGGAAAACTGCTTCAGCAATAGTAATCATTTGCTACTTCATATTTTTATCACAAATAATTATATATTACTTATTTATATAATTATATATTATATATCAAGTTATATAATGTAATATAAAGTTTTTTGGCATATTTTCATTTATTTTAACCTAATTAAAATCTTAATAATATTTTTTGTTATTTTACAGAGAATAGCAAAGTTGCACTTGTCACTGTAATTTACAGTTCACAAAGGTTTGCTCAAGATATGAGTATTCAAACCCAATAAAACAAATTATTTAAAGCTGGCAATATTCACAGCCACTGCTCTAATCCACCTCAGCTAAAAATATCTATAACATTTTTTACATGTAGTTGCTCTTTGCATTAAATCATTTCAGTGTGGTTAATCTGTATATATAGGATTATGGACCCCTGCTTGGAGCAACATTGGTCACAGAAGCAGTTGTTCTCCTTTAAAGCAGCAGGCAGCAAGTGCCTCATAAAGTTACTTAAGAGTATTGAATAAACCAATAATACACAACCCTTCCCCAATGATGGGGGAGCAATGCATGCTTTGAACAAAATCTAACCAAAGTACTTAAATCAGAAGTTCAATCAGTTTAAGATGGGGGAGCAATGCATGCTTTGAACAAAATCCAACCAAAGTACTTAAATCAGAAGTTGAATCAGTTTAATTTAGGTTTTAGTTTGATATACCGTACTGTAGTTACCTTCCTAGCACCAGTATTATTTGGTAAGTCATAAAAATGTATATTCAAACAGATGCATTTATATTTGAGCTTATTGTAGTTGCTGTATACAGTAGATTATATGTGCTTCATAGAAAAAATAGGTTTGTAAATTATATATTTATTTTTCCTCAACATACAACAGG